CTTGTTTGACCGAAAGATGAGGTTAAAAAGCTTAGTTAACCATACTAACGCTCTGGAGCCCAAACATCGCCACACCTCAATTGGAATACCATCAGGGCCCATTGCTTTACCTCCCTTCATCCTCTTCATAGCCTCTCCGATCTCTGCCTCTCGGATTCTCCTCACCAAGCATCTATTGGTATCCTCAAATGAGTCAACCAACTCCAGGGTAGGACCCTCACTCTCCCCATTAAACAATTTGTCGAAGTACTCTCGCCATCTGTCCTGGATCTCCCCATCCTTCACCAGTGGCCGATCCAACTCATCCTTGATGCATTTGATTTGGTTGATGTCCCTTGTCTTCCTCTCCCGAATCTTAGCTATCTGGTAGATTGCCACCTTAGTGGCTAGGTGAAACACGGTGCCATGCAGAAATCTGTCTTGAGGGCGGAACGTATATTCTTCAATCCTGCGTGACAAGATTGACTGGGTAGTGGAAGAAGACCTCTTGGGCGGTGGTTTTACTGGCTTCAGTCGCTTTACTGCTTGATTTGTCAGAGGACATTCACATTTTATAGAGAGATCGGTAGCGAGGGATCGACAAACCTAATCCCCACGTCTTGGGCCATCTGAAATGTGGTATGTGTGTCTCAAGAGTCTTACTTGGGCATCTAATGCTTCATTTTTAGTGGGTCGCGTCTTCCTTCTATTTATGTGGATTTTTCGGAGTGCTCATACAACATACACAAATGAAATTAGTTATTTATATACAGTGTGCATATTCTAGTGCATTTAAGCAAACAACTATGTGAAAATACTTGTAAAATTTTATCATAATTATACACATACAATTACGTAATCTTATTTACAAATGGTTAAATATTTGCTGCATCGCTCTCTTCAAGTTTTTATTTTTCATAAAGCTGGGGATATAAACATCTATTACTCATATTGTTAAGTCAACATATAGATAAATGCATATATGGATACATATTGTCAACTTGTCTTCTTGTGTCAGTTATGACAAGACACTTGTTTATTGTTTCTTGATATAATTTGCAGATTTATGTTCTAAATTTTATTTATTGTGACTCAAATAAGCTATTTGTGGCTCCAATAAGATGGGTTTGCTATTAAATTTAGACACAGCTCAGCTCTGTTTATTCCCATGATGTGGTTGGAAAACTCACCATATATGGTGTACAAGGTGCAACCCAAATAATTGATGTTATTATGAAGTATCAACACCCCAAGGAAAATTGTCCTGAAGTAGGGAGTTGAATTATATGAAGGTCTAGAACCCAAATGAAAAATAGTGCAGATGGAGATATCATCTTATCAGAAGGCACAAAAAAGAAAAAAAAAATCTCAAGCAAGCAACAATACTCGTTCGTTCCGTTCATGAGATGACCGATTAATTGCTCCACAAATGCATTTCGAAACAATCAAGCTCACAAGCCAAGGTAGAAGCATGCCAATCGACAAAACCTTACTACCATAACTAACCGCAAATATATACGATCTTGCAACCAGCCTAGAAAAAACAACCTCTGCTTTTTATTTTCTGGGGTTAGCAATCTCGAACTGCATCATTTCATCTTTCTTTTTTTTTTTCTTTTGCGCTCTTAATGAAATGAACATCAAAACAATAATTAAAGTTCATCTGTAGATATGACTACAAAATAATATCCCCCTCTCAAGCACCAGTTGCCAGAATGTCCTCATGCGACATTACTAAGCCTCGGCTTCCATTGGCTGGCCAAAGTAATAGTTTTTGTATTGGCCTCCAATAGAGTAGAAGACCACCTACCACTCCAAGGAATGCACTCTCCGCAAAATCTTTAGAGGCCGTCTCTTCTCTACGACCGGAATTATGTTCTCCATGAGCTGCATTTTATTTGAAACCAAGCAAAAAACTAAATAGTACATTTGAAATACAGAATGAGTGAGAAATGACGAGTAAAACTGGCATCCACGAGTCACTTATCAAGGCAGGACACTATTCACCGAAGGCATACATTTCAGAAAAATACCCATTTGGTTAAGCCACCAAAAAGAAGGAAGACAGGAGAAAAGAGAAAATTTATATGAAGAACTCCAGTTGGGTCCCAAATTCATGCATAACTTCTACAACTACAAGTGATACGCATCTGGTTGGTGGTAAATATTCAGATTTTACAATCTTGTTTTTCCCGCCAGCTACTCTCCATGAGACTAGTGTGCATGTACTCATCAACATTAAGATAAATATTACTGATCAGACAATCTTAGAGACGTCATAAAGGGAAAGAAAGAAAAAGGAAACAATTCTTACGAGATATTACATCGTTGACTGAGGAAATGAATCCTCACTACCGTTAGGTAGATTGATATTTTAGTTACATAGGTAGTTAGATATGATATTGGAGACGATAACCATAGAGAGGGCTAATTGATATCTGAAAAACTTGTGGGAAGTAGCCGGTGAGTTGACTATTTCAGTCGGGAGGTAAGGACAGTTTACCCTTGGAGCTACCCATGTAAGATGCAAATTGAGCTATATGCTAAATATTTATGTAGAGTGGCATGATAAAAAGAACTGGGGAGTGGCCAGCAGTTGTCGTGTACAAACTAAAACTCATGTTTTAAGCTAATATTGATCCAAGGTGATGCTAATTCAAATTTGACGTCATCAGTTGATCGCAACCAGTTTACACAGTACATACAGGCTTTCAGCAAAATAGCACATTGGTCACAGAATGTTCAAGCAGAGAGACGGGAATATGAATGTGCAGCTGATACATTGTGCCAAAACTGCCAATTTTATTTTTTTCTCTAGTAATGAAAAATAGTGAAAATAATTGGGGGAATAAGCATAAGACTAAAGTCCAAACACAACATTTGAAATTGCAAGATATCCGATTATATGGATATATAAACAGGAAAGAACAGTCAATCACGATTTATCCAGTCAGTTTGGCAAGCTGAAGGATGAGCAATCAGGAAAAATCAGACAAAAATAGCAGATGTATACCTGTTTGTATCTCTTCTTGTTATGTTCGTCCTGCAGTGCAACATAAGCTTATGGAGAACCTTCTCAAATATAATAAACAATATAAGAAAAATGGCAAAGCAAGTAGTGTGCTTTCTCTACTTCTCCTATCACACGAGAGCTTATGGAGAACCTTCTCAAATATAATAAACAATATAAGAAAAATGGCAAAACAAGTAGTGTGCTTTCTCTACTTCTCATATCACACGAGAGGTGATCAGTATAAATTAAGAAACTATGACCAATGTGATCCTCATTTATCAAGTTTAAAGTAAACTTTGATGGCATAAACCACAGCTTTCTGCTTATGAGAGTAAAAGATGTGTTCTTTCCACCACAAACAACATTGTTTATACAAAGAAACAATCCAAAAATACAAAGAAACAATAGTTCATTCAAAAACTTCAAAGTTCAAACAGTTTCGCCACGTTTTTTAGTTATGTTATATTCAAGAGGGATCCAATCCATATACCTCTTCTTTAATAAGCCTAGCATTTTCTTCCTCAAGGTGTGTCACCAGAAACTCCAACTCCACTGTGTAAACCTTGATGCAAGCAAGGAAAACAACAATAAGAAAACCATAAATAAGCCCATTCACCATTACCCAGAACAAATCATCTTGATCAAATTAATCACAATAAATAAATGAAAGCAAACGCCACGTCTAATAAATATTAAGAAACAAACTGACAAAAAAAAAATATTACCTGCTTTCGCCCTGGACCTAGCGGCAGATTCCCTATTCTTAATCATCCGCCTCTCTTTTGTTGCGTGGCCTTGTCCAGTGGTGGTTCCTCCATGGCCACTCTCCTCTTCCCCCTTCCGCTCCCGCCGACCGCCGCCATCCCGTTCCCGAACTCTATGCCGAACCCGTTCTGCGCGCACACCGCCGGCGCGGCGGTATTCATCATGACCGCCTCCATCCCTAAGGCTCCCGGAGCCGGAACCCTAGCGTCCACCTTGTTCCCAGCACCCGCCTTGTTCAAAAAATCCTCCAGAGTCATCCCCGGCTCCGCGCTACCCCCTCCGCTCACGATTTCCCTCCACACCTCGTCCACCTTCTTGCTCCTGTTGGCATTTCTCAATTCCGCACCGCCAGCGCATTCGACGGCGGCTGATCCTCCTCTTCCTCCTCCCGCGACATCGCCGCTGCTGTCCAGACGAATGCGTCGGAATCGGGGTAGATGTTCCTGAGTATGTCGTCCATGTTCACGGACCCGAACCCCCGGGCGTGATCGGAGTGAAGATTTAAGGTGGAGGCTGTGGTGGACTTACGTGGAAGATCCGGATTAGGCGGTGAACTTGATGCTATCATCTTCGGCGACGCCATCAAACCATTTAAAGGAACAGAAAAAAAGTACTTGCCCGCCGATTTTCTCGGTATTTAATCAAAATTTTATTTTGATTTTTCTTCCTCATTTTCACAGACTGAATTGAAATTTCAGTTAAAAAAAATGAAGTATGAATGGTGAAAGTGTCTTTTTTCTGTACATAAAAAGCAGAAATTCTATGGAGCCACCGAATGGCTTTCTTATGTCGACAATTATGGATGGTTCTATAAGTCGAGCTATCTGATTGCTCTATAGAAAAACCGTATAGAAAAGATAGGTGAGATTGGTGCAGATGAGAGATTAAAAATAAAATAAAAAATAAAAAAAAGGACTGAAATGCAATAAATAACGTCCCATGAAATGTCATTTTCTGCGAGTACGTCCAAAGCCTGTGTGGATCATTCAACATTTATTTATCGCATTTTATTTATTTTGTTGTTAGAGAGACTTTGAGAATAGTTTTGAGGTATAAAAAGTCAAAGCTCGATGCGTCAACTTTTAATGGGTACTTTATGAGTAAAAATAAAGTTATATTAATAAATGCTATGCTTTACTTTAAGTAAGACATTATATCACAAAAAATGTTATATTTCTAAAAATATTTCGTTTAGGCTTTGCTTGTTTATATAAAAACTAGAAAAAAATCGATCTCAATTCAGGATCTGACTCAACTTCAATGCAATCTTATTATCAGAGCCGGTTCTATTGGGACCGTGCGATGACGTACCCATTTATGGGAGTCCGCTTCCCCACGTACCCGTTTATGGGAGTCTACTTCTAGTAGGCTTGGGGC